AATACATTAATTAACACATTAGTTAATGCTTTAATTAACATAAACAAGTTATGGACACATGTTAATAACACATTAGATAATGTTGAAGTGCAAGTATTAGTACTATATATTGTAGTAGATAGATAAATCCATTATTCCATTACCTAATGCTTTCTTAATAGTAAATCATGTCAGTACAGAGTTAAAAACCACGAATAACATGCCGCTATTAGAGTGTTAACGTGGAAAGCTCAGCCTCAACTTGAATGTTATTCATTCCTGTTAACCTTTTATTAACCTGATTTATCATTAACAAATAAGTGTTGAATACTTCAGCTCATCCATCAACATGATTTCCTGTGGGGTGATGAAGACTACAACTCCCATGATTCCATACTCGGTCACATAGTCATCAAACTACGCCTTTGTTTGTTTTAAATCCACGCCCTCTAGTGGCGAAAACTTACATTTTGTGCCTTTATTTGTACATATTGCTCAAATAAGGCATAAAGAAATTGTGTTTAATATGATCATTTGTTTGTATTTCTATAAACACACAGAATTCACTGGAAAGCCTGATGAAGATTTTGCACAGCACCACTCCACACTACACACGCTGCATTAAACCAAACCCGGACTGCAGACCACTCACTTTCCAAAAGGAAGAGGTATGGAAAATGATCTATCTATCTATCTATCTATCTATCTATCTATCTATCTATCTGTCTGTCTGTCTGTCTGTCTGTCTGTCTGTCTGTCTGTCTGTCTGTCTGTCTGTCTGTCGTCCGTCCGTCCGTCCGTCCGTCCTTCTGTCCATTTATCCATCCATCCATCCATCCATCGTTCTATCATTCCATCTGTCTGTCTGTCCACCCATCCATCCATTCATCTGCTTGTCCGTCCATCCATCCATCCATCCATCCATCCATCAGCCTTACTATCTATATGTCTATCTGTTTTTGTCTGTCTATTCATCTATCTATCTGTCTGTTTGTCCGTCCGTCCGTCTATCTCTGTCTGTCTGTCTGTCTGTCTGTCTGTCCGTCCGTCCGTCTGTCTGTCTATCTCTGTCTGTCTGTCTCATATTTTCTATCATTCCATCTATCTGTCTGTTGATCCATCCATCCATTCATCCGCCTGTCTATCTATCATTCTATCTATTGTCCTATCTAACCATTTATCGTTCTATCTTTTGTTCTATCAATTGTTCTATCATTCAATTTATCTGTCCATTCATCCAACTGCCTGTCTAGCTATCTGTCTATATATCTATCTATCCATCCATCCATCCATCCATCCATCCATCCATCCATCCATCCAGCCCTTTGTCTGTTTGTCTGTCTGTCTGTCCATCCATCCATCCATCCATCCATCCATCCATCCATCCATCCATCCATCCATCGTTCTATTGTACTATCATTCCATCTCTCTGTTTGTCCACCCATCCATCCATTCATCTGCTTATTCATCCATCCATCCATCCATCTTACTGTCTATATGTCTGTCTGTTTGTTTGTCTGTCTATTCATCTATCCATTTATCCATCCATCCATCCGTATGTCCGTCTATCCGTCTGTCTATCCGTCCGTCTGTCAATCTGTCTGTCCGTCTGTCCGTCTATCGCTTAATTCGTCCATCCATCAATCCATCTTTTGTTCTATCTATTTATCTATTGTTCCATCTATAATTTCATCTGTCTGTTGTTCCATCTATCTATTATTCAACCGTTAATTGCTGTGTATTAATGTGGCTTTTCTTTAAAAGTTACAAGTAGAAGGAGTTTATGGGTCAAATTCAATTCCTGGAGTGTCACAGCTCTGCACAGTTTAGTTCCAACCCTGCTTCAACACACCTGATCAGCGAGTTGGTTTTGGTTTTGTTTGTGTTCAGGTCATCGCTCAGCTTGAAGCCTGTGGGATTGTGGAGACCATAAACATCAGTGCAGCGGGTTTTCCCATCAGGTAACACTGCAAACACGCATCTTTTACCATACAGTCTCTGTTTAATAATACACTGAATTTAATTGCCATTTTAATTCAAATTAGAGGTTTAGTGTAAAGACATGATTTGATATATTATACAGGACAGTTGAAGATTAAAATCATGCGTGTCAATTTTGTGTTTAACTATATTTAATTGATGCATATTAGCCAGAATTGCAGTTTCAAATATAGAGAATAAGACATCAATTGTTCCAGTCTAATAGCTCAAAGCAAAATTAGTTCATATTTTCTTCCTTAGCAGAGTTTTCTATTGAATTCACTCTTAATAATGTGTATTATTTATACAGGATCCCAAATGACAGCTTCTTCCAAAGATATGGGCTGATTGCAAACAACAGACTAGCAGCAAAGAAGAAAAGTATGTATAGCTTTAAATGCGCACACACAATTTTCTTCTTTCTTGATTCAATCCCTGATTGTTATCTTGTTGTCTTCCAGTATCTTCCTCTCATTTCTGCTTCTCTTCTCTTATGAACACAGCACTTAAATTAATATGAATCTGAATTGCTCAGGTGAAT